CAGGCCTAGCCTCCTTCTCCTCCTGATCGTTACATACATATTGTATAATCGAGGGTTTATTTTGCATTATCACGAATATATTGATAAGAACCTCAATCTGATTTTCTTAGCGTTAATTTAAAAACCATCTTTAAAGGGACAGAACATGGAAATTCAGCAAAATTTCGCAAATTTAGGATTTGAATCGCGAAATTTACAGAGATTTTTGTGCCCTCTGAATCAGTTATCATATTTCTGAATGTGATTTGCAGATTCAGGCACTGCGAAGAGGCCAGCGAAACCTGAAACTGGAAGATGTACTGAACGGCCTTCCGAATTGGCTGGACCGGTTGATCGAGGGATCGATTAGGCGGTACTACATACCCGAATGGCCTGAAAATCTTCGATGAAACTAGGACCAGTTTTTATTTCGCTTTAATTTTACGTCTTTCTCCACACTTTTTTAATACGTTCTTGCATATTTATGCAAAAAAAAACATACTGACGAGAGGTTGTCGGTGTGTGTATATGTATGTATGTGAGTGTGTGTATGTGGATGTGTGCATGTCTGTCTTTGCATTTTTGTCGCTCACTTTCAGCTCAGCAACCGGTGAAGCTAGGGAGCTGAAATTTTTGGTGCATGTTTCCATCCAGTGTGCAATGACTCAGTTAATTTTAAAGTTTTGGAACAAATTTTTCAAGTCCTTGCATCTCTGAGATTTTGTTAAGCTGATTATGCTTTGAGTTTCTTTTTTTTTTGGTAGTTTATGTATAATTTCTCCATTCGAATGTGAAAATTTAGACAGTCCATTGTTTTTTCATATGTTTCCGGTTTTTACTTAAAACTCCTCAATGAGATATCTGTGCTGCTGCCATACTGAACATCGGATATTCGTCTCTGTCAGTGCTAATCCATGTATAATCTCTTCATTTCGATAATAAATTAATTATGGCGTATTTCAAGGGATCAAAAGCTCCATTAGCTTGCTTTTGAGAAAGTTTTGAAGGGGAGCACCATTACTTTCTCTGTTTTGGTTGGAATTTGCTGTTTTGCGCGTGCTGTCAGTCGAACTACTTCTGTTCGGTTGGGATTTCAAATTTTTATTTCGGGATAAGTAGTTCTCGAACAAAAATAACGGGCGGGATTCAGATTTTTTGCATTTGGATTCCTGGAGCGTAGACTTTTGTCTTCGTTCCTCTTCTGCCGGTCCTTTAAAAACATGGTTGAAAGCAAATTCGGTACATGTTGGCAGCGTCAAGTGGCGATTTGTGTTACTGCCATACTGAAGGTACTTTGTTGTA